CAAAGACCACCAGAGATGATGACTCATCAAAAAAGAAAAAAAACTGCAGATGAATCATTTGCGGCATCATATGGCTTGAAATTCTCTGAAATTCCCAACTGAAATTTCCWGTATAGAGTCACTAAAGCAGGGAGGAAATGAAATACAGGAGCTTACTGACAATAAAACTAAATAAGGCAGAGCCATGGCAGGGTAGGGTAGGTTCAGTAACTAAAAAMAAACTAACAAAATAATCAAGATATGCAATAAATAGAACTGACAGCTTATAGTTCAGAGGTTATTCATCAGAACAAAGTCGTCCAAAAAATAATAATAAAAAAAACTGCAGCTGCATTTCTTTGTTCTCTGACAACATTGTTGCATCAAGGATGGAGAAAACTGTTGGTGGGATGACATGAAAAATAACCCATCATCATTTGATGTGTCAGGTGTTACCAGGGCCAGAAATATGATTTATGTTTTAGTTGGAATGTTTGCCAAGTAATAGACCAACAAGATTAATCCATTTCTTAAAGTTTGTGTTTCTAGCAGTGAGTAAATTTGTGTTCCAGGTCTCCAGTTTTGCTTTACCAGTCTTTTGTAGTTTTGTAGATCTCCAAAAATCAATTTCTAAGAATTCAGTTGTTGCATTTTAGCACCTTCCAGTGACCAAATGTTGCTGAGCTTAGTTAGGCACTTCAAGGTCAGCCAGTAGAACAGGGGTTCTCAAACCTTTTGGGTTTGGGGACCACTTACCACGGCAATAAAAATTCCAGGGACCCCCTCATGAGCTCCATCCTTTTTTAAAAGATAGATTTATTGTCATTTCAAACCCTAAATGCCATGGGAATATATATTTTTATTTAGTTTATTATGTTTATTTTATTAGTTCATTGTTCTTCATGCATTTTTTTAAAAATAAAAACCATATTAACATAATTTAGTGAATTTTTTTGAGGACCCCCAAGATACCTCTCATGGACTCCTGGGGGTCCTGGGACCCCAGTTTGAGAACCTCTGCAGTAGAACATTCTGATTACTGACTGAAGTCAGGTGTGCCGAATAAATGATAACTCATCCAAATTCAGTGGCTGACAGTCTACACTTTGGCTTTATTCCCACCCTTACCCCAGCGTATGTCCTTTCACCCAACAACCGTGATGACACAAAACAGAAGCAAAAGAAAATAAATAAATTGAAAGTAGAAAAATAATAATATGTTAATAATATAAAGTAACAAAATTAGCTCAGAGGTAATACTTGAACATGAGCATCAATATGAGCTTCTTTACGATTATTTCTGACCGGAACTAGAAAATGCATAGTGATAGCATGGCCCCCGCACCAGAAGTCACCAGAATGGATTTATTTGTTTTGGGTGGGGGTCCGGTGGTGGTGGGAGATGCTCATTGGTGGGCCCAATGGATAGCCCCTCATCAGAGCTAAAAATAAAAAATAAAAAACTGAAGCTCCTATATTGAATAGTTTTTGAGTTATAAGCATTTTTCATGTCCAGACACCCCCTTTTCAAATGGAGCCCCCTCCTCAAATATGGGGTCTATTATAAAACCACTGGCTGGCACAGTGTAGGTCAGAGTGATGGCTTGGTAGAGAGGTTTAACAGGACACTGGCCAAGCAGTTAGCCATCCTCACCTCAGAACACCAGTGGGACTGGGACACCCATCTTCCCTTAGTTCTCATGGCCTACAGGTCAGCTGTCCAGGACTCTACCCAGTGCACACCTGCCCTGCTCATGTTAGCTGAGGACCCCGGCTGAGTTAGCTTTTGGGAAACCCCCCGATGCACCAGAGGCACCACCCGGTCTAGACTGAGCAAGGAAACTGAAGGATCGACTGGAATCAGCACATTCCTATGCTCGGGACCAGTTGGCAAAAGCAGGACTGCGTCAAAAGACGAATTATGACAACACCACTAAAGGGAGGCACTTTCTCGCAGGAGASTTGGTGTGGGTCTTYARCCCAAAAAGAAAAAAAGGAAGATGTCCTAAACTGGATAGCAGCTGGGTGGGTCCCTGCAGTGTTCTGGAACAAGTTGGAGAGGTGGTCTWCAGGGTACAGTTGCCCCCTAGAGGCAGGAAAGTAGTCCTGCACAGAGACAGAATGGCCCCCTGTAGAGGACATTCCCTTCCCCCTTTCATGGAGGGACAGGTGCAAAGTCCTCTGGCCCCTACACAGGTGGATTTGCAACAGGAACTGTGTCCCTCTCCAATCCCTATAACTCCTGTGGTCCCTCAAAGCCCCAGAAGACCAAGGAGGCGACATCAACTACCTCCCCGCCTCAGAGACTGTGTTGTTCCCTTGAGGACAAGGAACTTTTTGTTGGGGGGGCAGTGTAATGATCCTTAAGGAGTTATTGTTGCATGTTAAATGTTCCTGGTTATGCTGTACTGGTTCTTTGAGTTGATGTGTTTTTGGTGTTTCTGCAGGGGCTSTTGGGTGTTGTTAGGGGTGTGGTTTTACCTTGTGTGTGCGCACGAGAGTTGGAATGAAAATGCGAGCGAGAGTTTCGGTGATTTGGATGTGAGCCACGGCCGAGACTGCTCGGAGTTTGTAGACCTGTTCCCTACCAAAAAAAATTAAATAAAAAAAAAACGGTGAGTGCAAACCGTCTGGTGCTTGAGTCGATGCGCAGCCGTTACAACATACAGCCAAACCCCTGAACTTACGTTTTTGAAGAAATTTTAAAAGGTTCTTGTGAGTAAAAAAAGCAAACAAATTACCACACTGACCAACACTTTCTGAAAACATCTGTGCTCATTTTCAGGTCTGCTTTTATTCTGCGGCTCCTCTAATGCTAAAATATTAAAGGTGGGGAAATTGTACGGTGAGCTGGATTCCTGGGGTCTGACTGTCAGAATTCTGACTTTTTTTTCCCTTTTGGTCACTTCAATAGAAAAAAAAATAACTTAATATTAGTTTCTTAATTTCTTCGTCATCGGCGACTTTTTTTCTAAGATTTAGAAAAAAAAAGGAGAATTGTTTCTGAAAATTCTGAGATTAAAGTCAGAAAATAGGGAAAAAAGTTTTTGGCCTGTGGCGCTAATGCTCTTCCATACAGAAGACATACCACAGCTAGAATGAGTCAAAATGTTTTATAAAACTAAAGGAATGCAAAGAGCAGTGAGGCTAAAAGGACATCCACACACTCAGTTGCTTACACAGCCGGTGCAGGCATTCTTACGTGAACACACATGCATGTCTACTGAGACACACACACACACACACACACACACACATTCGAGGATATCAAATCAGCTGGATGACAGGCACTGGTTTCACAGGATCAGTCATGACGCTTCTGACAGCCAGTACCAGCCCCAGTGGTTGTTTATGTGCATGTTCCTGTTTATTACAGCAAAAGATTCTGAACAAATGTTCTTTTATGTCACGTGTTCTCTGGCGTGCTGACAGCGTGAGAGACTTTTGTTTGGAGGAGTGATTTGTCACTTGCTTGATGAGGAAATACTTTTCTTCTAGCAGTCAGACAGAGAAACAAGGCAGCTTCAACCCTCCGCTGTATCGCCTGGATTTCCAAGAGTGAAAGTTTGTCGCTGTTCGTTCTCCCAGGATGCACCGAATACAATTACACACTTTTTATGGAAATGACATGTCGCATTGCACAAGTCAATCCTCTGCAAATCTTGTCGTGTTTTGTTTTTGAACTTTGAGTGACAGACAGCAAATCTGTGAGAATTTAGAGCGTCAAGTGTAAACTAAAATGTTTAAAAAAAACGTCAACACGTTTTCATTATTTAGCTCACTTTCTGGGTGTAAAATCCAAGTTGAAAATTTTCCATTAACATTTTATTGTTATTTAGCTCAGTTTTTTTCATTTTACTTCCATACATCCATTTTCTGTACACGCTTATTCCTTTCAGGGTCGCGGGGGGTCACTGGTGCCAACATCCAGCAGTCACAGTGTGAGGGGCAGGCTACACCTTGGACAGGTTACAAGTCCATCATATTTTACTTTTTTTATTTTTACTAAATGTTAAATTTAAATCTGGAACACAGCCTTTGCCATTCGTGCACAGCTTTTGTTAGGATGTCATCATCCCGAGACAAACGCAACTGCTAATGCTGTTAATATCTAACTTCCATCTGGGATCAAAGTTTTTTATTTTATTTAAATGAATTGAACGCTGCTAACGCATCAAACTTGCAGTTGCTGCCAATGTCCAAGCTGCATTTCAAGCTGCTGGACCACAGATATGCTACCATCCATACTGTTTTCATTCAACACATTTTGAATGCAGATGCCAGTGTGGCTGCCCGATCCGTCCCGGTAGCACGATCTGTACTGTCAGCTGTTTTGCGCATGCGCTAAACGATAGACTTCTGGAATTCCGAAGAGTTTCAATACTGTATACCTTTTGATTAATAAAATATAGGTTTACGACGCATACATATTTATAACAACTTGCAAAATATTTTCTAGACAGAACTCATCTTATCTTCGTTTTGTTTTGTTTTCTTCTCCTGGAATATAAACCTGCAAATGTTGCCTTTTCTTTGAAACATTGCAGGTGATGCAAGACTGAAATTGAATTAATTCTGTCATCAGTCTAGCGAAATGCTACATGCTAAAAACAATGTTTCCAGGACAGTACAAATTATGCTTCCAGTACGGATGCAGCCATAGCCAGCAGCGTTAGTGTTTGTCACGGGATGATGATGTCACAACAAAAGCCAGGTACCAACGTCCAAGTCTGCGTTCCATTCTAACTTTCTTAAATGTAAGCATTAAGAAGATTTAGGATTTAACTTTTGCATTTAAATTTAACATCTAGAAAAACATTAGCAAATTGAAGGAACAGTGAGCTAAAAAAACAAAATGTTAGTGGAAATTTTAAACTAAGATTTTACACTGAGTGAGCTAAAATTAAAATTATGAAAATGCGTTTAAGTTTTTCAACATTTGATTTTACGCTTGGCCCTTCACACTGTACCTCATTTGTTGTACAGCACACACAGACACAAAAGAGACAAAAACAAGCAGCTAAGTGTGTTCAAAATTTCTTTTTAATATTAACTAGAAAAACAAGTGAGTTCTTCCACCAAAATCTACACAAAATAACTGTCTGACACCAAACAAGCGATTCTCCCAATGCCTAAATTAGCTGAAAACGCTCCGAGGTGACTGTGCTGTTGGTCAACATCGTTGCATTATTGTACAAATCGTAAGCAGTAGTCGTGTACATGTATGTGTTTGAAAACATAAGGAATCAAAAACATCTTCAGCTACCACATCAGAATGCAAAGTGCAGAGATCAAAGCACTTTACAGAGCGATAACAAAGCAGCAGCTAAAAAAAAAACCCACCACACTGTGAGCTCCATCTCAGCTTCACTTCATTTCATGAATTTTAATGTCATTTTCCACTCAGCGCGGAGCCCCACGCACGCCGAGGTAGACTTCAGATCAATATGAAATATCCTCCTGCACCCATCGAGGCCGACTTCTCGCCGACACMGTGTAATTATTCTTTACTCAACGCAGTGGAGCGCCTGTTTAGACAAACACATCTCGGGTCATTTACACTCTAATTTCTGAAAAATTGGGATCGAATCCAGGCTAGCGGCTTTGACAGTGATGAGTAATTGTGTTTTAAATTTCAGTCATCTCACAGTTTGAAGCAGCAGGCTGCTCTTTGGCTGTGTCGCTGCAAAGTATTTAGTATAAAGCACCGACAGACATTTATAGGGCGCGTTTACATATTGCTTATTAGGTCTATTTGTATTCCAAGGCTCATTTCAGTATTTGCTTTTTTTTTGCTATTTTTACAGAAAAAAAATTACATTTATTTATACAGATTCTCATTTTAAAATACAGACTCAAATGTGTTTGTGCTTTTCTTGCTGTTCAGGAATTAAAGCCAGCTTGACCCGGTTTATGGGATCTTGTGTGAAACCAGAGTTTGAAAACTGGGGGGCTTTAAGTCCCGCCTACTTACCCCGCCCACAATCATGACCTTTTTTTAAGGCATGAAATAAGAAATTACAACTTAAAAAAATCTGATGTGTTTTTTTTTTATTATTATTATTATTTCACCAAGGGCAATGTTCCATTCATTAACATGAAGTGGGTGGGGCTTAAAACTTAGAGAAGCTGATCCCAAWCCAACTTCAACTTCCAGGTTCCACTCTATTATCCAGATCTATGTAAMACACATAGTTTTTGCTTTCAACTGTCTGTTTAAGCTTCTCATTGCCAGCTTTCACAACAATGAAAGTTCACATCTTCTCGATCTCTACCCAAAATATTAAGATTTAATTCAAAACATATGAGAAGACAAAAGCATTCAAGACAGTAAAAACGGGGTGGATGTTAAGATGGAATGGAAAGTGGAGGAATTTTCATCCCATAATTACACAAACAATAAAAAAATACAAAATATAAGCCCCTTAAGGCACTTAATCCAGTCTTAGATGCTTTTTTTAATAACTTTGATGAGACAAACAGCAAACAGATAAGTATCTATTGGGATAAAAGCACCAGCTACTGTAAGTGCCTTCAACAGAGAGACGCTGCCTTCTTAGGACACAATGACAGTGTTTTTTTCTCTGCAGAGAAGCACTACAAGGGGGACGGGAAGCACTTCATCTCAACGTCTCATCAGTCAATGTGAAGGCTGACATCATAACTTTAACTGTCAACAATCAGCGCGTGTCCAGTCGATTTTCTGTCAACTGGTTTTTCTGCAGCTTCAAGAGATTTGCATTCCTCTCTGGGTTTTCTTGGACATGTTCTGCCTTCAGCTTGTGAGCCTCTGTGCTACCTGACTGTAACTGGTGGATGGTGCACTTAAAGCTTTTCACGTGTGTTCGACAGTCTTGGTGCACCCATGTGTCGCTACTCCTAAAAGTCATTACGSCGTTAATGGCCTCGCAGCACTTCATCGCATCTCCATCACTGCCTCAATTAGAAGTTAAGATGCTTCTTCAACTTTCTTCAGTTTGAGAAAGGAAAAAAAGAAATCAAAGTGCAGAAAAAGCTGTGAACCGAGAAACATGAGGGTGATTCCTGTTATCCGATCCTCCCAACAGGTCTTCATAGATTTATTTATTTTTTATTTTATTTTAAGGAGAGAAAAGTTATCTAAGTGGAAAAATATTACCTTCTATTTCCTGTTTCTTCATTAAATCCGACAAAGAGGACAGGCAGGTTTTAGAGACAATCAGTTCTTTTTGTGGAAACAAAAAGCTCATTTCCTTCATCAGAGTCTTCACTCCGAAATAGTCCAGAAGCTCGGTTTTGGTTCAGATGATTCCGTAGTCCCTTAGAGACTTGAGCAGCACCGTGTCCCTGACGTCGGTGAAGACCTTGCGAATGTTGTTGGTGTCGGTGGCGCAGGTGTAGTGCGGGTACAGAGTCTTCCACTCGTTCTTGTTTTCAGGGTTGATGGCCCGCTGCTCGTACATTTTCAGGATGTACTGCTGCGCGTCTTCCGCGCTCTGCTTCCTACCTGCAAGGTGAAGAGTAGGGGTGAGATTCAACTCAGTTCAATTCATTCATTTCGTTAAAACAATACAAATAATTTTATATACAATAAAAAGAAAAATATAAAAAGAAACATGAGGAAAAAAATTTGTATATATGTTTTTGGTGAGCCAGACAGGAACTGAAAAATACAAAAAGTTGGAAAAGTTTTTTTTTTCTCATTATTTAACCATTTGACAAAACTAGAAGTCTCTGAGGAATCAAAGACGTTATATAAAGACCGTACAGTATAAGACTCACCCAYAGTTGAGTAATTTATCATATGTTGTCACTGTTCTTCATTCTTTTACATATTTTATTCCATTTTATTGAGTTATGACAAGAGTGCTGATTATGGCACATTATACACCCGTCCACAAACTGAACTTAGCACAAAAAGTAAGTAAATTTGTGTTTGGCAGATTACAGTATTTCTTTGTTTATAGCAATTCTTATACTGTTGGACAGCCTGTTAATTTCTTCTTTTTCTTTAGATTGTTCTTTTTTTTTCCATATACAGTGCCCTGAGAAACTATACACTATATACAATATGTTGTGACTTAGCGCTATATACATAAACTGAACTAATTTTCATGATATGATTTATTGCCAAGAATCATTGCTACAATAARGAAATAATCTACCAAACACAAATTTATGTACTATTTGTGYTGAGTTTATACTACAACAACCTGTAGCATCAGGACAAACAAGTAAAGGCCTTATAACCTTTTGACCAAAGCTTATCATGGATGAAGTTCAAYGATGGACACAAAATTTTGATTTTTCATAAACCTTTTAGCCTTTTTCCCTCAGTTATTGCCCACCTCTGACCGACATGGTTCTGTTACAAGATAAGCTCCTGCTGGTGCTTTTACATTACCTCTGCCCAGAACTAACATACTTAAATGTACATATTCAGTTGTTTGTTACTGGAATATGTTGCTTTTTAAAATAACACATAYTCATGATGAATTTAAAACTTTTTAAAAATCTGTTCTTTATAATGAAATTACATTTAATTGAGGGATGTATGATTTGAATGGTGAGTTATGATGAGAAGTGATTTGTTCTTTTATATTTTTCTTTAGAATTATGTAATCATGATTTTTTGTTGTTGTTGGGTTGAGATTTTGAGTTGTACTGGTTGTATTGTTTACAAGTGTTTTGATGTTTTGTTAATGTGGGCCCCAGACAGAGTAGTCTCCACTRTGGTAGAGACTAATGGGGATCCTTAATTAAATAAATAAAAGTAATCTTAATTTGTGACTCTGACTTTAGAGCAGGGCTGATGAAAAGATTGTGATACAAATCTGTATCAAGTTAGACTACACCATCGTACATCTGCCTTCAATAAGTGTATAAAATAAGAACCTCGGCTAATAACTATTGATACGATTAAATAAACATTTTTCCTAAAATGTAAAGTAAGTTACACATTTATGGTTAGCACCCATTATTAATGCGTTTCGATGCTCTGATCAAACTTCTGGATTGTTAATTTAGAAAATAAAATAAAAATATAAAGAAATAAGTTAATCACCTGTGTTCTATAATCATTTTTTAATATTTATGGGTCAAAATCACACAGTAAACTTTGAATTTTGGGTTAAAATTACACCTGTTATCCACATCTTTAGATTATTTCTAAATTTTTATTTTATTGATATGTCAAAAAAATTTGAAAGCATGTTCCTCAAAGACCAAGACATTTGTAATAAGAGCCTAATTGGGCCTAATTATGACATTTTTTATTACATTTAGTGACTTATTTTCTTGAATTTCACCAGCTATCTGTACACAGTCCTGCTTTTTAACATGGTTAACTCAGGACCAACAGGACAGCTGTATGAGTCAGTATACTTCATCCCTGATTTTACATAAACCAAAGCTTGTAGAGGTGCTCCGTCTATTTCTGAAAATCTGTACGCAGTGGCTGGAATTATTTTCTGATACAATATAATCGYCCCTAATTACTTTAGAACTAGTTTAATTTAGTTTCCTCCTGTTCAAAAACAGCATCAGGCTCCAGGGCTACTTAACAGCCACAGCCTTCAAATGCAGTTACAGTGGCAGTAATCAGGGCCACACAGMCCCCACACAGGAACACAACAACATTAGCAGCAAACAGCAGCCGGTGCTAGGAGCTGCTCCGAGTCGTCATTAAGGTTAAATTGACATCAAGAAGCTTGACCCTGTATGAGTCATTATTTTACCCTGCTAATGCTGGTGGTAAAACACTGAGTGCACTGCACACACACACACACACACACACACACACACACA